TACGGTGGAAAATGATAGTGATGAGCGACAACCCGAGTGTAGGAACTTAGATTGAATTCGATGGTCAAATTAATTGATATTTTACATAAAATTTATTTGTTAAAATAGTAATTTTATCTAAAATTTAAAGTCAAATTTGTATCGTGTCTATGGTTTAGGGATAAAATTATATTTGAACTATTTTTGCTAACATATCACTTCATCATACTCATATGAATTAGCGACCTAATGATAAAAGTGTAATAAAAAGATAACATAAGTGATCAAAACATTATTTTTTTAAATTATTGACCAAAATAAAATGGGCCAAAAATAAAAATGATGATGAGTGAAGTTTACCCTTTTATTTGTTATATAGAATATAGGTAAGCAAAACCAAAAACCCAAGCTAAAAAGTGGATGGAACTTCCTTGGCCATTGATCAAAGTTTGGTGCATCCTTTTGGTCTTGTTATTGATTCCATCAGCTTCCAACTACAAGTCTGAGTCGGAGAAATGGGCCATGAAGTTGCATTTGATCTTCGCTGTATTGCCTTTGCTTGTCCTTTTCATCCTCACCCGAATCCAGGACGGCTTACCCTCCTCCGTTAGCACTTACAAAAACAAGTTCAACTTTCTTCGTCGTGATGTTGGCCACAAGTTGCCTCGAGCCCCCCTGCTTCTGCTGCTGTTTCTTCTCATTATGACCTACGCCTATGGTTCAACCCCTACTCTCTCCTTAAATGCTACTAGTCTTTTTGTTTTTATCATCCTGCCTTGGTAATGGAAATACTGTCTGGTTAATGGGTATTTCTACTTGAAGGTTTTCTTTTAAACATCAATGGAGTTTTGCAGATGTTGATAGACCTTTCTATGTTGTACTAAATGCAGATGATTCTTGCTGTCCACATTTAATAATTTTTGTAGACTTTTGAAACGTTAAAAGATTTTCAATAGACCACCTACTAAGTTGTTATATGATCTAGGGTTAACCTCGTGCGACATCTTATATCATTCATTCGATCACTTTTTCTTAACATGATTTCTTATATTTTCAAATGATTTATCTAAATCAAATTATATATTTATATTTATTCAACCCGTCATCTTATCAGTAATAATCATAACCCTAAGTTTGACGTTGATAATAAAATTCATTATAAAACTCTTCGTTGAGATTGAGGAAAAGGATTCATCATACCTCGTCGTCTACTATCGATGTAAGCCAAATGTAGAGAAGTAGCCTATATAAATTTGAATTCCAACGAATGATCCCAAACATAAGACAAACGAATGACAACAAGTGATGGTTCGTCCAAAATACATATACATTAAGTAACAAAGTTAAAAGAATAGATACGATCTACTTAATGTAGTAAGGAAGGTCGAGGACGTAGAGAAGGAAGTAAGCCCAAACGACACCGGAGATTCCACCGAAGAAGAATCCTCCGGTGAACTTAGCCCATCCATCAGCCGTTTGCAACTGGTCGGGCTCCTTCTTCCTCCCAGTCAGGGTTAGGCTTGGGGCCGTCGAGGGCTCTCCTTCGTTGAACGATGCAACGCCATACATTGTAAAGCAAATGCTGAGCATCACGACCAGACCTGCAGCTGCCAATGAACCGGCTTGACCTGCAACGGCTGTGTTCCTTAAAGGACCGGCCTTAACGAATGGATCCACCAGGAGGAAGCCGTGGGCTAGACCCACTTCGACGCCTCTGAGAAGTGGGTTCACTGCCGTCCTGTAGGCCGGAAGGTTGGAGAGGTACCAAGCGATCAAAGGGCTTGATGTGATTCGGAGTTTCGAGGCTTCCGATGAAAGGGTCACCGTTGATGGGCTGAATCACTTGGAATGTTCGCTGCAGATGGTTAAAAAAGAAAGAAATTTATTCAGTTGCTTAACTTCTCGCCATTGATGGGTTTAAGGAGCTTTTGCTTTTCCTTGTCTTATTGACCAGCTTTGACAGTTAAGCATGGAGTCCGGGTCTTGCGGCCGGGTGAGACTCTGAATGGGGCTCCGGAAATGCCCTTGGGAACTAGGACTGCTCTTGTAACAGATGACGTAAAGCTGCTCTTGAGCTGAGTTGCCATTGGAGAGCAAGTGGTAGCCATAAGTTTAATCAAAATCAAAAGAACGAAGGGACTTGAGAAACTTCAAATTTGTAGAAGAAGACGAGGCCAAAGAGTATGGATGCATGGGAAAAATTGTGGTCAATAAAGATGATGTGTTCCCTTTGCAGATTTTTAATTGGAGGGGGAATGTGAGAATCTTATCCGTTGTCAATCCATCTATCATATACCAACTCAGAAAAATATTAAAAAATAAACCATCTCAATTAGTATAGTGATATTAGATCTCTTAAGTAATATCATATGTGAATCTATGGTCGTCTCTGTCTCTACAGTATCTGATATGAATTAATCGATCAATAAATTAGATACCAATGATTATAAAAAAAATTATTAAAAAATAAAAAATTATAATCGTTTTGATAATGTATCATAATTTGTTTCACTTCGGTGATGGCAGTACACCCATTAATATATCAAATATAAATGTTGTCAATGAGTATTGACACAAGTGGTTGAGATTCAAGAATTTGAGTTTGTAAGATCAAGTTCGAATCCCATCATCGTTATTCTTGGTGGGTAATCTGTAAAGTCATATGTAAATCCCAATTGGGTCTTAGGTATGCCCTGACACTGGACTGGGAGAGCCACCCCTGATCTAAACTTTACTGCATTAAAAAAAAATCAAATATAAATGCTAGTTTAAAACCAATATTTTGACAAAATATTTGATAAACCTCAATAGCCGTTATGTGTGATACCGATCATCATCCATGATTCCATTTCATTTGTTGTTTGTAGGAGCTAGCCATATGATATCTAGCTCTATTCATTTCAACCCAAATACGTCAATCTACTCAAATCCAAAATTAACCTAAAATTTTAAAAACAAAAATAATCCCAACCTATAATTACTTTCAAAGGATTCGTGCCGAACTTCGAAAATAAACTCATCACTTAATATGCGATGAGTATAGAAAAACACACGATATTTTATGTTGGAGGGAAAGAAATTTATAAAATTTTAAGGGAGGAAGATGAAAACAGATTTTCAATTAAAAATATAAAGAAAATATTTAAAAGTATATAAGAATTTGAAATTTTTAGGAGAAAATTATCCTCACCCACTCCCCTTGTAATACCTCAAATTTGTAGTTTCGGATAAACTCGAGAGGTATATGAACCACACAAAATTTGTAATTAAAGTCGTTGGATCAAGTGTGAGTTTATTTGGATGTGCATTGGGCCTGATTGCCATAAAGAGGGAATTTTTGCATTAGAGACAAAAGAGGGAGAACAAAAAATGCAATTAGCCCATTGGTATGGTTTTTTGGGACTTGGAAATTGAAGGGAAAAAGCTGAGCTTTTATCATTTTCTTCTCTCCTCGTTCTCTTCATATTCTTCTTCTCTATATTACTAATCTTCTCTTCCTTCTTTATTCTACATCTTCTCATTTCATCTTCTTCTTTAAGATTTAAGATTGAGGCAAGAATTTCTTCTAGGTTCCATTCAGCCTTTAAGTAGATCTTATGCTTTCCCACAAACTTGGTTGGTATTGCAAAAGCTATAGTTTCATGTTATGGCAAGAGAAAGTATGTTTTGTTGGTGATTTGGGTATTTGAGCATATTTGGTGTTTTTGTTTGATTCTTTGATTAGATGAAGTTTTTGTTGTAAAGATTGTGTTTTTAGGGTGCTTGATGATCCTAAGTAACTTCTATAAGCTTTACATAACATTTGGGGACCTTGGGATGGTCTTAGGAGTGATTGGAGAGCTTCACTCATGAGAAACAAGGTAATCTACAATAGTGGTCTCCAATCTCCCTATCTTCGAAATCCCTTAGGATAATTTCGAAACCCCTGCCTAAGTCGAAATAGGCCTAAAACATTGCCCAGAAAGCCCTTTCATAACGTTTTAAGAGAGAGAATGAACGAAATAATAGTGAGGGGACGATCTCATCTATTTGTGTTGCAATTGATAATAATGATATAGGTGTAATAACCATAAGACTTGTACCTTTATTTGACACTTGAAAAACGATAGAGACACCCGAGCTATCTGTATGCATGACGAAAGTCTAAAGTATATGTATGTGAAATATCTGGATATATCCCCGACAATGCTAAGACACTTTAGTATCAATGTTAATGTACTTCTATATCAGTGTTGAGGTACTTTAATACTAGTGCTAAGTCATTTCTTTTAATCGATGATATATATATATATATATATATATATATATATATTCGATGTTTTGATATGTATCATGCTTATTTCATTTTGTCATTGTTTGATATTTCGATTAGAGACCTAACATATGAATACTCATGGCAAGGCTCTTAGTAGAAGACTAAGGGAAGCATGAGGCTCCAACCATAGCAATAAAATTGTTAAACTTTAAGTAGTTGACACTTGAATAAGATCTTACATGTACTTACTACTTATCACCATATGCATGCTTTTATTTATGAGATTCATATACTGCTTCAAATTAGTGATTATATTACTGGATTTTGTAAGCTCAACGTTCGGATGTTTCTGTTCGCATGCTAATATATTGAGTCGTTCGAGGAGCACTGTCATCGTTGGATTTCCAACATTCCTCACAGAATATTGTTTGATTACTTTTATCGAGCATATGTATTCATAGGATCCTTATTTATTATAATTTGTAAACTTTGTGTTGTATTAATTGGTTTAAAATGTCATGGAATATAAAAAAAAAATTATTACTATTATTAATTTCTTTTCACAAATATATGATTTTTAAATAAATAAAAAATATTACCTACTTCGGTGGTTCCGTATAATATTCTAATCCTTCAAATTTCGAGTAGGATCGGATTAGAGTGTTACACCCCTTGGTCCATTCCTCCTTCAGGAATATCATCTCCTCCATCTGGCAATCCAAACAGAGTCCATACGAAATTTGGAGAAAAAGCATAAAACAGGGGTATACATATAAAACAGACTGCATATATTAGAGGATCAAAATATCTTGGTCTACACCATATTAAAATTAACAACGCATTTTTTTTTCATTTTTTGTTGTTTCTTTTTAAATACTAAATTCATTCATACACTGCACCTGAAAGGTTAAGGCTAACAGCTAAAGTGAGAGGGGCTACCTTTTTTGTTGTTAATTAGTGAAGAACCGAAACCTGATACCGGTATTTCCGAAGTAGTTGCCATGGTTGGGAGAGAAGTTGTAGGTGGCAGAACCAACAAGAGAGTGGCTGTAGTTGTCAACAGGTCCAGGATAAACATAGGGTCTGTCATACACGTACTGCATGTATCTATCAGTAACTCTAGGATAGAATGTTTTGTCAACAGCTACGTTAGCGATTCGAGGACCATACCCAGCACCATTGGCACGAGGCCTCTTCGGTTGAGGCTTGGCAGCTTCAGTTGCCCTCCTATTGTCTGCCTTAGCCTTCTCTAAAAGGAGAACCCGCTTCTGAAGTGGATCGACAGGGTATTGCTCTTCAAGATTATGCTCCTCAATGCACTTGATCACAGCCTTTAGAGCAGGCAACTCTCGCTCACTAACTTCAGTCTGAAAACTCAGAAGAAAGTAGTTCATTCATTTTCAATAATGCAGCAGAAAAACAATTGAAACAAAAATAAGTGTTGATTGTCAAACATTCAGTTAATGTTCAACTGAAATATATTCAATCAATACTAGGCAAACCAATCACCTAGAAGAAGTGGGATAAAGAACACACCTGGGCAGTGGGAGAGGCATTTCCAAGCTTGACAGGTGAAGCAGCTTTTCTTGCATCCTTCAAGTAGGATTTCAGCAAAGGTACAGGTGAAAACTGCTGTGTCAGCTCAAATGCAAAAGCCAGGTTAACTGCGTCAATCTGTCTTCCGCTATTCACCAGAACTTCAATTACACCTGGCATTTTCTCAGACAAGCCAAGGGAACGACATAGATCGGCTGCTTGTCGACGACGGGAGACCATTGGTATCAGCCTTGAAAGTTCTTCTTCATTGAAGTTGGAAGCAATAGCAAAAGTGGCAAGAAGCTGCAGAAAAGCATGAGCTTCCAATGAGTTACCATTACTAGCATCCATGTCAAGAGAATCCAACTTCGGTTTCCATTCCTCGGCAATTAATTTTGCTTGGTCCTTAATATCTTCTGATATCAGAAAAGAAACAGAAACAATATCCAGATTAGATAGCAAGAAGCTAAGACATTCCATCAACATAATACAGGTTCGCCTAAGCCCCAGTAGATTTGAGTCTTTTTTTCCATCTGCATTTGGCACTTCTGAAAGGTAAAATCCTTTCAAAGATTGCAGGACCAATCGAGCTGGGTTTGCTGCAGCTTTCAATGCCCAAGGAATTTCCTCCTTCAGTGCAGCAAGGTTCTTACGGTTATCTGAAATAAACTTCTGCAGTCCTTCATAATCCATCTCTTCACATAGTTTAACTAATTGAGGATAAGATTTCACCTCGAAATTTCCATTTTCAAAAGAACTTTTAATATCCTCGGAGTTATTTTCAGTAGCTACTGAATCAAGTGGTTTCTCCTCAACTGAGAGTTCACCACTGCCTCCATTACAGTCAACATCAGCAGGTTGCTCAGATGATAATTTCTTTTGCTTCTCTAGAGCATTCGTAATGGCAAAAACAGCTGCATCTCTCTTCTCTTGTAGCCTGACCAATGTAGTTTGTTCTTTGGCTACTACAGCAGCTTCACGCTTCTGCAACATTTCACAAGCTTTCCTTGTTTTTGTCTCGAACTTCTTTTCTTGGTCTTCCAACTCATGGAAGCGTCTCTTCAAGGACTTCTCAAGACCACTGAAATGTTCCTCAAGTTCTTTCCATTTCAGATTAAGTGTTAAAGCACGCTGACTTTCAAGTTCAGCAAATGCTTTCTGAAGCTGCTGTATCTTAGAGGCTGTCGAGTCTATAAGTGTCACAACTGACTGTGTATCTTCCATGACATAAAAACTGAAGGAGAAAGAAATCAGTAGGCGACTAGGCGTCAGATCCCCCAATGCAGTATGAGAGAAAGGATGTATAACCAAACAGATTCTCTAAAGATCACAATCCTTTGAACCAAAAGGAAAGATGAACGCAATATAAATTAAGAAACAGAATAACATGGAAGATAAAATTCAGCATAACCAAACCCATTTTCTTGTTCAAAAAATTGAACATTGCCTCCGTACACCAATAATAAGTTAATCAACTGATCAAAATGAAATAAAAAGCAACAAAATTAAGGACTTAGTTATATCCATAACTATCGGAAAATACCACAACTTGAACACATGTATATCAAGAAAACGTCAAGTTGTCAACAGCTACAATTATAATCCATTTTAAGAACCGTATATAGATTCCATAGCAGTCCCCAAAAGGATATCTCACTGAGCATCTGTCCAAGGAAATACTGGTACAGAAGAATGCATTTTTTCCTTCTAGAATCCAAAAATAAAGTCATGGATACATACTATTTTATGTTAACTATGAACTAACACCCCAATAAAATGAATAAAGACTGCACAAAGCACGCCAGCAGCCATGGTACTAGATGTTGCCCTTAAAGTGAGAGGAATATTCGCAACAAGAATGTTCACCAACAATGCAACAACAACAATTGGTGGGAATAAGATAACTTCAGAAAACATGGTGAAACCCAAGATGCAGACACTAAGGAACTCTTCAAATCATCTTAATTCCCAAGAGTTTAAGATTACTCCTTAATGACATTTTCTACCTTTATTGACATATACTTCCCACACTTCAGGATAAATAACAAAGTCAATGAAGACATAGGTACACATCCTTCTAAACTTTGCAGTATGCAGACTACATAGATACTTAAAAAATATCAGCATTTAATATTCACAAAAAAGGTGGGATAGGGATCAAGGAGAGTCTGCTGCTTGAAATCAATTAATTCATTGTAGAAGCTGTACTTATATTACTCACAGCACATAAAAAAATTACAATAAAATGAGTGACAATCCTTCAGTCTATCTTTTTTTTTTAAAAAGGAACAAAGATGCATCTCAAGCTATCATAAAGCAGAGACCCAGACAAAATTACCATCAGAATGTTACTGGTCACCCTTCTACAAAAAGAGATACCATTCACACAACAGGCAAGTCGCCAAGAAAAATTTACAATCACAATTTCACTGGACCCATTTTCTAAAAGAATAGTAGCACTCTTATAGACATTCTCTACAATTCTCTCCCTCCCCCCTCCCCCTCTCGCTCTCACTCTCTCTCTCTCTATATGTCTGTGTTCCATAATTGGTCCTCAAACATGAAACCATTCCTTGATTAATCACCAATAACTAATTCAGAAAGCCACAAGTTTACCTTGAATCAGAAAGAAATTTCTTCTTCAAACAAAAAAATGTTACTTCATGCAGCAAATCAAAGTCCTACATTTCTCAATTTCTCCTAACTCAATAAGGACCACTCAATAATAATCAAACAGATTAGCATGTTTCCAAATTTAAATAATATAATTACCACTCAACAATCGAGCGTTATTGTTCAAAGTAAATATTCCTTTCTAGAAACACCAAAGTTAAACCCTACATCAAATGCCATAAATAAGCTGTCAACACAAAGAGAAAGAGATATAGAGGGAGAGAGAGATCTGCAGCTTAACCCTAGAAAGCCTAAAAAAGAAATCACTTACTAAACAGCAAAATAATTCGGAAGTATAGAATTTTACAATAAATAAGTAGATGCTCTCACCAGAGATTTTATAAGCTTCAAATTCACAGAAAGACAACGCCGTGTCCGAGATCGTAAACAGTAAACCAACAAAAAACCACCAAACCCTAAAACTAAAGAAACACGACCAGAACAGTGTAAAAGTTTCAGTTTTTCACTGCAGAAACAAAGCATATAAAAACACGAAATTCGGCAGTTCAAAACGAAGGACCCTGAAAGCTTAAAAAGAAAAGGAAAATTCCATGAAAATAGTGCCGATCCGGAGAGAAGTGTGAGAACGTAAGGAACAGAGAAATAGAGAGGAAACTACCTGACTAATCCGAAGCGAAATGGAGCAACAAAGTGACCTAACTCGACGGAAACTTGAATTATCAATTCATTTCGGGCGGGTTTTCTTCAAAAAGTAGGGATAGGTGAGGCTGATATGCCAGTACTCTTCAATCCCTAAAGAGAGGAAAGTGAGGTAAAAGGCAAGGATTTTATATTAAGCACTGGTGTCAGTGAAAATGAGGGGTGCTCTTCAAGTTTGATTCAGGCAAAGATATTGACCCCTGTTTTCTTACACCGAAGATAACATTATCTGTCCTGTCGGAATATACTGAACGTCCTGGGCTTGGCCCATTAACAAAATAGTTATAGAGTATAATGAATTTTGAATTTTAAATTAGTGTAATAAAAAGAACATTTGCGGAATAATAAATGGTTTGTTTGAATAATAAAGAAATATAATAAAATTGCGAGATGAGTTTATAAAAATTAGAGTAGATTAATTATATCTTTGATTAATTTTTTAAATTATTTAAATACATAACCATGTCACTAAAAAAAGATAGAATCATATAATAAAAAATGAAAATCTAATAAAATAACTCGAAAAAATGATATATACAAACATCATTATTGTCAATGAATAAACATCATCAATATTAACATAAAAATGCATATAACGATGTGGATGATAACATGTTTGACAAATTCATCTCCGTTTTTATCTGAACTTCCATCTTCTTCCATTGCATTTTTCATTTTTGGCCAAATTCTTCCACTTTATTGCGTTCTTCTTAGCCTCTTTGCCCTTTTCTCCTTTTACTAGTTCCATTAAGCACTGCTCGATCATGTCTCTTATCACTAAACCTTTCGCATTTTGGCGAGCCTTAATCCCAATGCCCCATACATCATCCACTTGCTTTGCGTTCATGATCTGATTCTGATCGGTCCACAGCGGCATCGCCAGCACCGGGACTCCGAGGCTCAACGTTTCGAGAATGGAATTAAGGCCGCAGTGGCTTAGAAAGCAACTTATTGACTCCTGAGACAGCACCTCCAATTGATGGCACCAAGTCACCACCAAGCCTTTCTCCCTAGTCTCCTCAATGAAACGGCTTGGAAGTTTGGCCTTCTCTGCTGTTTCCCACAGGAAGTTGCAGCCTGCAGCTTTCAAACCCCAAACCAGCTCTTCCATTTGCTCGACTTCAAGCGATGCAAGGCTTCCGAATGGACGTACACGACTGAGCCCTTCGGCTTGCCGTCTAGCCAAGCAAACTTAGGCAAGCACTAGTTTCTGGCTCGAAGAGATTCACGCCGTAGCCTATGTCGCCATCGAGTCGTTTGTCCAAGTACATTGATGGAACCGTTGGTCCTATTGTCCACACGTTCCAGAAACTTGACATACAATCCAGCACCTCTTTCTCTAATTCGTAAAAGGTGTTGAAAAACACCCAATCAGCTCCATCTACGTTGGAGAACTGATTCACAATAACATCAAACCAAGCCGGGGACGATCCATTATCCGAAATAAAAGACGGCAGCTCCGAAACTTGAAGCGGTGGCAATCCAGGGAGAGAGACAGTACTGTTCAGTGGCAGTTGCGTGGCAGCTGAATAAGTCCCCTATTGACATGGTAATACGCGGAGTCGACAGAACAAGTTTGAGTAAAAACCACAGCTGATGCAACTCCAAACTGCTTTGTAACATCGAGTGCCCAACTCAAGAACCCGTCATAGACGATAGCTCCAATAGGATGGTCACCGGCATCAACGAGTCTCTTTATTAAACTCGCCAAACTCTTAGGACCCACCGACCAGAACGTCTGCAGGTAAACCTCGCCGCTGGGAGACCATTATAGCCGCATTCATCGAAGCATCGGAGACAGTCTGAAGGTCGATATAGGCGTCGGAAAACCAGGACTTGGAGAGGAAGACTGTTGTGACAAGGGTGGCTTTGACGCCTTTGGAGGCTAAGCGTTTTGCAAATTGGAGCACGGGGTTTATGTGACCTTGGAGTGGGAAAGGAAATACTGAAACTTGGGGTTTTCTGGGTTTATTCTCATCTCCCATTGTCATCTCTATTCACTCAGTATCAGTTTTGCTTGCTGTCCTGTCCCCTGGTGTCTGAATATATAGATAGATAACTATGAACGGTGTAACTATTATGTCATATATATATATATTATAATCACTCGATATTTAAAATTTTTACGTATTGGAAAATGGCTAAAAATAACAAATTGACTTAGAATTCTCTCTTGATGTTGAGTTGCAGATAAAGCCATCTATAAGCGCTTCCAAGGGCGGCTTTCTAAGGCAAAATTACCATCACAAATATTACTGTTCATCATTTAATTATTTTACACAAAAGGCATTTAAAGTCCTTTAACTTTAAATGAATCAACGTAGTTCTCATCTTATTTTTCGAATCAATCTTCCAACTCAGGAAAATTTTCATTTTAATCATTAAAATATTCTTCACAAAATATACAAAATCACTAAGTTAGGTGGGGTGAAATTTCAAATCTAGAACCCATAGTGAAGATGGGCCTAACCACTAAGTTACGTTTTATATTCTTCACCAAATAATATTTGAAAAATGACCTTTGGTCATTGTAAAATATATGAAAAATAGCCTTAAAAGATATATAGATTATGGGTTATGTTACATATGGCATCTATATAATAGAAAATCTGCTTTAGTGACCAATAGGCTTCATAAAGTCCCAATCAATTCAGCAGGGCTGCCTTAGTTCTTTCCAATAAAATAGCCTCTCCCAGACTACATTTATAGAACACAAGTACTCCCCAAATATTGTACAAGGATATGTGACTGTACAGATATGAAAATTAAGAAGAAAGAATACTAGGACCTAGCACGCATATGTTTTGACATGTTGCAAGCTTCAAAACAACTAAGGTGATGCAGTTTCGTCATCAGAACCATCGTGTGGGTTCCCCTGAAATCCGGGGAAAGATTGCGGCATCATCGGATTCACCGGAACTGGGAAAGATTGTTGCATCATTGGGTTCACTGGAACTGGGAATTTATGCGCCGAACTAACAATGGTTCGTTCGTTTATCATGCTGACTTCCTTGCAGACTAGATTGAGAACCGTAAGGAAATCCCTCACCACCAAGAAGATTCTAAATGGATGAGCTTCTTCCTTTGCTGAGTTCCCATGGAAGTATTCAGTAATCTCCTTCACTAGAGATAATGCCACGTTCTCATGGGCTTGAATCCTTGGAATCTCCTGCTCAGCCATTTTCATAAATCTGTTCATCGATTCCGAAAATTTCTCTTTGCTCTCGTATGACCCCATTGTTTCATTTAACCTTAGAACCTCACTGATGTGTTCAAGGCCTCTAGAAAGCTTAGAGACCTCACCACCGAGTACCTCGGAATCCATTGCGGCAGCTTTTTTAACGTTGGTGAGCTCTGAACTGAGACCTGAAACAACTTGTAAACCAAGCTTTCTGCACCGGGCGTCTTCGGTTGAAGCAGAGTTTGGTGTTTGGTTGGTATTCGAAAGACGAGCACCCTCACTTCTTATGATTTCTTGTACAACAAAATGCAGGAGTGTGGTCTTACCATCAGCACCCTTGACATCAACAAGCTTAAGAAGTGTATCAAGTTTAAAGGCTTGCGCATCGCCTCGATTTGTCCCGCAATTCATGCGGTTCCCGGTCTTGAGGACAGCCTCTAGAAGTTTCAAAAACATCCTACTATTTCTCAATTCCTCACAAGCAGCCTGTGGAAAGGAAAAACCAATGAAATATATGAAACATTGACAGTGTTCCTAGGAAAGAAGCATTGCTTCCATGCAAAACAGATAGAATGATGGAATCGAGTCAAATTACCTCTAGAGTTTCGAAAGAGTTCTTAAGGTATTCAACTTCAGACTCGAAGTTGGCTATGTACAGCATTGCATCCACCCTTTTGAAGGCAAAGGGTACATCGAGAACAGTCTTCAAGAATTTCTCAGCAGGACCAAGCTTAACTGGCGAATCATCTTTGTACTCCTTCAGCTTACATTCTTCTTCCTTTGTTGGAGCCATTCTCAATAAACTTTCAAGCAGACGGTCCACATCAGTGCCTTCAACAAAATCGCAATGTTCTGTGCCTTTTTGGGATCCAACACTCTGTTCTCTTGGTTTGGTGATGGAACAACCGAGCGCGGAGTTGTTTGCTTCGGTTTAGAATTCGGAGTATTTACGACGAATAATGTTTCGATCATCTCCTCATTCAACCTGTAGAAACAATACTCAACAAATTATTCAACACAGAAGAAGAATAGCATTAAAGAACCAAAAAATAAGTCCATAATTGAAGAAGGATCCCAATCGTACTTAAATGAGCTTGATCTGAGATGATCCCACACCATTTCACGATCAGAGTTGGCTCTCACTTTATCCCAATGTAATTGCTTTAACTTGGGTTTTGAGCCTTCCTCCGACTCCTCCACTGCCTCGGACTCGGACCTTGTAGGAACTTCGAGTGGAGAAATCTTAAACGGCGTTGAAGATGGTATAAGAGGAGGTTTTTCCCATTGTCGTCGAGGTGGTGGAGGTGACATCGATATCTGTTGTGAAAAAGGTACTGATGGAACAGTTTTTTCCCAAAGCCGTCGTTGCGATGGAAGTGGCGGCGGTGGCGGCGGTGGCGGCGGCGGCGGTGGAGACAACATAGGCTTCCGTAAAGCCTTGCTAAGTCTTAAAGGAGATTCATCAGGACATTTTTCCAAACTCCTATCGGGTGATGAAGAAGCTAAAGATGACAAAGAAGGAGCCTTACTGTAATCCGAAAATCCAACCTTCAAAGGAGACATTTCTGGGCTTTCCTCGAAAATACTGTTTGGTGACGGTGGCGATGGCGAAGCCGGTGATAGTAAAAGAGACTGATTATCTTCATTCAAAGCTCTGTCTGGTGAAGTAGAAGCTGAACAAACTGAAGAATCATTAATCGGAGAGTCTTTAACCGGTGAATTAATCCCACCAGCTGAGGCTAAAATCAATGGAGCCTTCATGTTTTGAACGAAATCCTTGAAATTTTTAATGGATGCATCGAGCTTCTCGATCAATACTCTGTTTGGCGAAGATACTGAAGGAGATCGTAAGCTTAAATCATCTGATTCTTTTCCAAGCACTCTATCTGGTGATGTGGAGGTCATAGACAACGACGGTGATCGTATGTGTTCATCAATGGACATGTTTGAAATTCGTGGGGAATCAATTAAAATCCTCTCTGGA